GCTGGCCATGGTGGTACACGCCTGTAATCCCAGCTACTTGGGAGGCTGAGGCAGGAGAATTGCTTGAACCTGGGAGGCAGAGGCTGCAGTGAGTTGAGATTGCACCACTGCACTTGAGCCTGGGCGACTAAAACGGTCTCAAAAACAAATTTTTTTTTTGGCTGGAGATGGAATCTCACTCTGACACACAGACATGAGCCACCTCGTCTGCTCAAGGGGAAGGCCTAGTTTTGAAGGGCAGGTCCCAGGATCAGCCAGGGAAGGGCAGAGCCTCTGATTGCTGTGTCTCTGCTTGCAGGCCTAGAGGTGGCTGCTGGGGTGCATGGGGCCTTCCTGCCGGAGGGCGGGCTGAATGGGGCTTAGGCTGTCGGGGCGCTCACTCCTGGTGCTTTCGCTGTCGTAGGTGCGGCTGACTGCCCAGACGTCAGTGGGTCCTGTGTCTGACTTCTACACGCTCCCTGTGGGGATCCGAACTGTGGCTGTCACAGAGAGCCAGTTCCTCATCAATGGAAAACCTTTCTATTTCCACGGCGTCAACAAGCACGAGGATTCGGACGTGCGTTGGGGCTCCTGGGTCCTCATGGGCTGCTTCTGGTCACCTTCCACGTTCGCCTTCTCTGTGTCCCGCAGCTGAGCGCAGTTGAGCTCAGGGCAGTGAGGCAAATGGCTCCAAACCGCCCGCGGTGGGGCCGGCACTGGGGCTAGAGAGGGGCTCCTGGGGTGGCTCCAGGGTTTTGACGCTTGGAGGAAGTGCAGCTTCGACAGGGACGGGGTCACTGGGCTCTGCTGTCCCCTAGATCCGAGGGAAGGGCTTCGACTGGCCGCTGCTGGTGAAGGACTTCAACCTGCTTCTCTGGCTTGGTGCCAACGCCTTCCGCACCAGCCACTACCCGTACGCGGAGGAGGTGCTGCAGATGTGTGACCGCTATGGGATTGTGGTCATCGATGAGTGCCCTGCCGTGGGCCTGGTGCTGCCGTGAGTCCCCGCCGTGCAGCTGCTCTGCCTGCCCAGCCCGCGGGCCGCACCGTGACCTCTGCCCCTTCCCTCCTGGCCTACAGGCAGCACTTCAGCAACACGTCTATGAACCACCACATGCGGGTGATGGAGGAGCTGGTGCGCAGGGACAAGAACCACCCTGCTGTGGTGATGTGGTCAGTGGCCAACGAGCCTGCGTCCTCCCTGGAATCTGCCGGCTACTACTTCAAGTGAGTGCCCCCTGCCTGCCCTGGGCTGGATCCGGAACGAGACCCTGGCAGGTGGCAGGCTGTGGTGAGCATGTGCTATCCAAGATCAGCCTGCTGTCCCAGCCCAATGGGAGGGCCGTCCATACCCCGACAGTTAAATATCTCCCCACCCAAACTGTGGCTTTCTCTCTCTCTCTTTTTTTTTTTTTTTGAGACGGTGTCTCGCAGTGTCACCCAGGCTGGAGTGCAGTGGCACGATCTCAGCTCACCGCAACCTCCGCCTCCAGGGGTTCACGAATTTCTCCTGCCTCAGCCTCCCGAGTAGCTGGGATTACAGGTGGACACCACTGCACCTAGATACTTTTTTGTATTTTTAGTAGAGACGGGGTCTTACTATGTTGGCCAGACTGTTCTTGAACTTGTGACCCCATGGTCTGCCTGCCGTGGCCTCCCAAAGTGCTGGGATTACAGGCATTAGCTGCCATGCTCGGCCAATTTTTTGTATTTTTAGGAAAGATGTGGTTTCTCTATGTTCCCCAGGCTGCTCTTGAACTCCTGGGCTCAAGCCATCCTCCCACCTCGGCCTCCTCAAGTGCTGGGATTACAGGCGTGAGCCACCATGCCCGGCCCTCAAAAAAACTTAAATTAAAAAAGAGTGCTGGGCGTGGTGGCTCATGCCTGTAATCCCAGCACTTTGGGAGGCTGAGGTGGGGGGATCATCTGAGGTCAGGAGTTCGAGACCAGCCTGGCCAACATAGCAAACCCTGTCTTTACTAAAAAAGTACAAAAAATTAGCAGGGCTTGGTGGGGAGGCACCTGTAATTCAGGTACTCGGGAGGGTGAGGCAGGAGAATCACCTGAGCCCTGGAGGCAAAGGTTGTAGTGAGCCGAGATCAAGCCACTGCAGTCCAGCCTGGGTGACAGAGCAAGACTCCATCTTAAGAAAAAAAAAATTAAAAATTAAAGGAAAGGAACAGAAACGTGGCTGCCTGGGAGTGAAGGCTGCGGGGCGCTCCCGTTTGTGTGACGCAGGTTGTGTTCCTTCCTCAGCCCTGGTCTCTCTTGCCGCCTGCAGGTCTGGTGAATTACCAGATCTCCGTTAAGCGTGGTAGCCAGTTCGAGTTGGAAGTGCGTCTTTTGGATGCAGAAAACAAAGTCGTGGCCGCCGGGACTGGGACCCAGGGCCAGCTGAAGGTGCCAGGTGCGAACCTCTGGTGGCCATACCTGATGCACGAACGCCCCGCCTACCTATACTCATTGGAGGTAATGGTGGTTTGGGACCTGCTTCAGGGAGGTCTTTTGCCCCCATATGGTGGCCCTGGCTTCAGCAGGAGCCCGGGACAGGTGAATGGGCAGGTGTGGTCCTCTGAGCATTCTGATGTTTCCAACCCTTGGTGGCAGGCTGTGTTTTTGTTTTGTTTTTTTGAGATGGTCTCACTCTGTCACCCAGGCTGGAGTGCAATGGTGTGATCACAGCTCACTGTAGCCTTGAGCTCCCAGGCTGCAGCAATCATCCAGCTTTGGCCTCCTGAGTAGCTGGGACTACAGACACATGCCTCCATGACAGGCTAATTAAAAAAAATTTTTTGTGTCCAGGCACGGTGGCTCATGCCTGTGATCCCAGCACTTTGGGAGGCTGAGGTGGGTGGGTCACCTGAGGTCGAGAAATTGAGACCAGTCTGACCAACATGGAGAAACTCCTCTCTACTAAAAATACAAAAATTGGCTGCGCGTGGTGGCGCATGCCTGTAATCCTAGCTACTTGGGAGGCTGAGGCAGGAAACTCCCTTTAACCTGGGAGGGGCCGAGGTTGCGGTTAGCCGAGATTGGGTTTTGCATTCCAGCCTGGGCAACAAGAGCGAGACTCTGTCT